ACCGCACAGCTGGGTCACTCTGTACTGTACAGCCCTGTTCTGTGTCCAAGACCCATGTACATAAGACTCACTCTGTCTTCGGGTTCTGTCTCCTTGGGCTCCTCAGGTTCAGATACTTGGGCTGCAACTGGCGGCTGGGCCTGTGAGAACAGAGTCAATAACCAGGGTCAGTCTCACACACTGCAGTGCCAGTGCCCAGCCCCACACTGCACAGACTGGACTGCATCCAAGAGCCAGCAGACTTAAGACTGTGTCAGGGCCTGACACACACTGCAGCGTCAGGCCCTGACAGCTGGATGTGACAGGAACCTGCAAAAACAAAAGTAATTTGAACATGAAGTACACAAAAGAGGAAGAATGCAGAAGTGAATGAGAGAATGACAGATCAGCCCAAAGGAAGCGCTCGGTCCTGTCCGTTTTCCAGGAGAGGGAGAGAGTGACTAACAGGAGACCAAAAGGCAGGGAAGCAGTCAGTCAGCACTGAGCAGTCAAGTACTTTGGAAAAACAGGAGAGACACGGATTCACCTGGAGAGAGAGACAGGAGTTGATCGTGCATAGCCATGTTCACAGAAAAATCAGAACATTTTAAATGAAACCAATTGGATTTGGAAAAAAACAAAACTGGTAAGAGAAGAAACTCACAGCACAGGCCTTCTCCCAGGTAAGTTACTAACTCCTCCCAATGAACCAAACTGAACACCAGAATCTGCTCCTCCAGTGAACCATGACAACCCCCCCGTCAGCTGTGCCACCCACTCAGGTGGATCTGCACAGGGTCTCTGCAGGACCATCTCTCTACTGAGCTCTGTCTCTGAAACCCCTAACACTGAGCCACTGGGTTGTGCTCAGAGCCCCTAAGCCCGACCCTGACAGCTGGGGCTGTGCGCAGGACAGGGCTGGAGGAGGGAAATTAGCCCGAGAGACACAGGAAAGATGAGATCACGAACCCTGAGGGGGAGGGAGTGAGACGAGGGGAAATAAAGGAGCCCAACCTGAGTCTTAGCAGGAACTGGAGCGCTGGAGAGCCAGAAATCCAGGTCAGAGGCCTGCAACAGGAGAGGAGGGAGGGAAAGGGGAAGGAGGGAGAAGGGTGGGTGAGAAAGGAGGCTCCTTACTACAGCCAATATACTAACACGACTCCTAAGATCATCTGCTTCTTCATTTTATTAGCACTTCATCTCTTACCTAGCAAGACATTCTTTTTGAAATACGCTCCACGTTTCTGTGAAACATGCTAAAGGTAAGAGTGATGAGCGTGATACCTCGGTGGGAGAGGTTTCTGGGGGAGGGGCTGCCACCACTGTGCTCTCTGCTGGTTGGACAGTTTCCTCAGGTGGCTCCACCCCCTCCTCTTTCGAGCGTCGCTTCTTCTTCTTCTCTTTACTCTTCTGCGGAGTAGAATAACCACCAGCATTAACCAGACGAATGGCAGTACAGGGACAAACTAGAAACGGCACCAATGAGACCGAGGAAGTCAGTGGGAGATGAACGAAAGCACACTAACGAACCACTCGACGGGCCTGTGAAGGGACAGACAGGCCAGGTGAGCCACTGAAGATCAATAAACCCAGTTACCCAGCTGAGCCCCCTGAAGTGCCGTTTCATTCAGCTGGAGAGCAGCTTCTCTCTCCCCCAGGCAGCTGTCTCACCCAGGGAAGTGGGTGGCTGCACTTCAATGGGGGGGTGAGGGGGAGCCCCATGTATATTAAGCAGTTTGGGATCCTATGTGATACAAATGCAATTAATGTCTATTTACTAACGAGGGGCCACAGTGTCGTCTCTCCCACCTTCTTCTCTTTCTCCTTCTTCTTCTCCTTTTCCCTCTTGTCCTTCTTGCTCCGCCTCTTCTCCTGCGGGGGGGCCTCCTCTGGCCGCTCCGCCTCGCTGCTGGGGGTCTGGGGGGGCTCATTGGGCCGGTGCGTTCGGACAGGAAGCTTCTCGCTGTCTGCCAGGGGCCTGCAGGGACCAAGAGGGGCCAAGTCACATGAGGAGGGAGGCAGGACAGAGATGGGCTGCAGTACCGAGCCCGCAAGACTGCAGAGTAGAGACTGAATCTGGGTCGGGACACTGGCTGCAGGCTTTGGGATCAAGGGGGCTGAAATCCAGCTCTCTAAAGCCCAAATCCTCTGGCTTCTTTCCACCCTGAGATTTTACCAACTTAATCAGTCACAGCTACTTCCCTCCCTGGGTCAGCAGCACAACTGTGACTATAAAGAGCCTGGAGCCGGGAATGAAAACATTTCTTTCAGTAAACTTGCACTTACAGGAATGCAAAAATGCAAATCACAGATGCATTTTTTGCAGTTGGTAAAACCTGGAGTGGATCACACTGCTGTGCAATTGGAGGCCGACTTGTATTCCAGCCGGCAGAGCATGGCATGAGCACAAGCAGAGACAGGCATCTGCAGAGGCCTGCAAACCAGAGACCCAGCGGGTCACTGTCCTGGGTTTCAGTCCAGCTGATCTCCCTGCTACTCAACTGGTAGCCCAGTGTGTTTCGGTCTGGCCTGGCTGTGAGGTTCAAGACAGCATTTCACAGGTTCAGATCTGCAGCTTAATTTCTGAACTGGAAACCAATGACCAAGATCTAATCAAGCAGGGAAGCAAGATCAATCCAGAGCAAGACTGAAAGCAAGGAGAGGCTGAAGGCTGCAGCCGGCTGGTCCGACTCTCACTCACACAGGCAAGGGCATGCACGGTCTGTCTGTCCACCGGTCCGTTATCCAGTTCTTTAACAAAATTGTAATGAGGGAGATGCTCCTAACTGACATACCAGGGCCAGCAGCACCCAGCTGCACTGCTCCAGCAAGATCTCAGCTCATTCCACTGGAGTCTTCAATTAACAAGGTTTGCTTAATTAGACCCTTGTTGGTCTCTGAAGCAGCAGCAGATGTAGGTACACGTTAATAATTAAGGTCCGCTTGAAACCAAGCTGCTGTAATGGAGGCCATTTCCGAGCAGAAGGAAGATTCACTCAAGCTGCAGCAGCCCAGGTGAGCGTCAGGCCCAGCAGAACCGGAGCCGAATCGGAGCAGCAGGCTCGTCCCGGCCGGTCACTCCGCCCCAAGCCCCCTGCCCCACCCCTAGCTGACCCTGTCCAGCTGAACTCACCTGCGCGGAGCTCCCCCAGGGGCCAGGCTGAGTGCCGGACAGGTGCGTGCACGAGAGAGAGAGACAGAGTGAAGGAGGTCTGCAGACAGGAGACAGTTACAGAGGGCACAGCGGAGAGGCACTTCTGTCCCAGCCTCAGTGGGGATGTACTGAAGACGTGACTACACCCCAGCTGGCCAGGGGGCACAGGGGTCACTTACCTGTCCAGGTCGATGTCCAGAGCTTTGTAAGGGTCATTGGAGTCCTTGTCATCCTCGTCGCTGGGCAAAGCATTCTAGAGAGAGAGGAGGAGAGACAGGAGTCAGTGGCTGGACACCACGGCCATGCCAGCCCTCTCTCCCCCGTCTCCGCACCTCGGGCATCTCCTCGGTGACGATGTCCACGTGGTGTGCGGGCGTGATGTCCTCCTCGCTCTCCGTGTGACCCGACTCCAGCCGCCTGCCCCTGCCCCGCTTCTTCTTCTCCTTCTTCTTCTTCTTCCTCTCCGTCTTCTCCTTCTGCCGGCGCTCCTCCTCCAGCTTCACGTACTGGTCCGACATGGGCAGCCCTGCAGGCGGGACAGAGATGCAGGGCTGAGCCAGGCGGCGAGCAGACCGCTCCGAGCCGGAGCGAGCAGGCGGTCATGCAGATGGGCGTACCTGGCACCTTCAGAGGCACGCTGAGGTCGATCTGCACCACCGGAATGTGGTCGACTCCCGGAGTGTCCTGATAGCCCTGCGCAGACGGACAGTAACAGGTTACAGCCAGGTCCACTGGGCCCTATATACAGCACACTGGCAGGCCCGGCGCTGGTCCCCAGTACGGTACACAGCCCGGTCCGGCGGGCCTGGTGCTGGCCCCCAGTACGGTACACAGCCCGTGTAGGTGACAGGGGTCTCACCTTCTGTGGGGAGGGGGAGCTCTTGATGTAGAAGGGGTTGTTTGCCTGCTCCTGCTTCCTGGCTTCCCTGCGCTGCAAGAGACAGAGCAGAGAGCGACCGGGTCAGAAGGCGCCGTCAGGGTGGGGAGGGCGTGCCAGCGCGGCGGCAGGCAGCATACCCTGGCCAGCTCCTTCTCGTCGATGTCGGCGTGCCGCGGGCGAGCGTGGCGCGTCTCCTCCTCGGTGAAGACGGCACGCGGCTTCTCGTCCTCCGACTCGCTCTCCGACGGCGGCTCGTTGATCCAGGCGTCCAGGTCCAGCCTGGGGAGGGAGAGGGGAGGGCCAGTCAGAGCCCAGCTCACACACAGCGGGGCAGAGAGCCGCACGGGCACAGCTGCCTACTGACCCCTCGGGGATGGGCACCTTCTTCTGGGCTTTGGGCGCCACAGGGTTGAGCTCGCCAGCGAAGAGCGCGCCGACCTCCTCGGCCACGCCCACCTCGCGCTGCTGCAGCTTCTGGATGTACTTCACCAGCTGGAGGACGCAGGAGGCCTGGCGGGACAGACAGCGACAGGCCCTCGTCAGCGCCGGGGGGCATCGGCTCATCCCCACGCCGGGCCACGTTCCCCCCGACCTCACTCACCCTCTCCTGCACCTCCAGGTCGGCGCTTTGCACGAACAGCGGCAGCCTTTCGATCAGCATCTCCGTGGTGGCCGTGGCGGTCTGGCTGTCGCCGGACTCCTCTGCGCGGCGCAGCACGGCGGACAGCAGCTTGGCGGCGTTCTGCACGTAGACGGCCTGGATGTGACCCGGCAGAGTGGACACCTTTGGCCGCAGCATGGCCTCCAGAGTCTGGACTGGATCCTCCAGGTGTCTGGGAGGGACAGGAGAAGGAGGGGGTCAATATGTGTTGGCGCTGGCGGCCACCGCCGCTGCCCCCCGCATCCACTGCCCCGCACGTACTCGGAGAACTCGCCGCAGATCCAGGCCGCCGCATACAGGACCTCGCAGATGCCGTTGCGCTGGGTGTTGCCGGCCAGCAGGTGGGCGTTGTCCAGCAGGGTGGCCATCTGGGAAACGGCGAAGGCGCGGATGGCCTTGACCCGGATCGCCACGTCCAGCATCTGAGACGCGATCAGGTGGCCGTGGCGTGTGCCCTCGAGCCGAGTCAGCTCCACCAGGATACTGATGTACCTGAGAGACAGAGGGTCCCCTGTTCATGTGTGCCCACAGGTGTGCACTGACCACGCAGGGCCTCACAGAAGCAGTACTAGAGCTTACTAACCACTCAAAGTTTGTGATGTACTGATAGTTGCTCTGGCTGCAGATGTCGATGATCTTGGTCAGTAGCTCGTCCCGGTAGGTTGTGCCCTCTGCCTTGTCCACGTGGAGCATCAGCTTCTTCACGATCTCCATGAGGTTCTTCTTCGACACCTGGACACACACAGGCGGGCAGCAGCTCAGTGAAGAGTGCCCTCTGCTCAGTTGTACAAATACAGTGCCCCTGGGGTCACACAGTTTATCAACAGTTTGGAGGGAGATATACCACAGAGCAGGCTGAGCACTGTGTGAAAGGCTCTATACATCAGTACCATGCCATAGAGCAGGCTGAAGACAGCTGTGTGAAAGGCTCTATATCGATACCATGCAGTAGAGAAGGCTGAGCACTGTCTGAAAGGCGCTATATCATTACCATGCCATAGAGCAGGTCGAGGGCCCGCAGGCGGATGGACTCGTCCTTGTCGTCCAGGCACTGCAGGATCAGGTCCTTGTGCGACTGCACTGACTTGGGGTGAGTCTTGAGGATCTTGGACATGGCCAGCAGACCCAGGTACTTCACTGCAAAACAAACTGCAGCTCTCTCACACAACCAAAACAAGGCTCCCTCAGGATCAGTGCGGCCCGTCACCCCAGTGCGCTGCGCCCCCACACCTTCGTGGCCTGTCACCCCAGAGAACAGTGCCCTAATACCACTGCGCCGCCAGACCAGCAGACGCACATCTGCACCCACATCGGTACCCAAGAGCCTCACTACTGCCCCCTGCAGGCAGGGTAGCTCTCAGTACGGCCCTTATTTACACTTCAGACTGCGTCTCACTAAACAATGACAAAACACTTTCCGGAGCAGCCACTAATTTAACTTCTAAGAGACTGAATTTTATAATAACATGACCTCTGTGCACAACAAGGGATGATTTGTTACGGTGTGTGGTTGTATTAACAGAGACTTACAGTTCTGGTCCGAATCTTCAATCAGGATCCTCAGCTTCTGTACGCACAGCTGTTTGAGAGAGAGGGGGGAATTGCTGTTACTGTGCTCATTACTGCACACTGAGCAGGCGGGGAGACAGAGAGACGGAGAGACTGAGAGGCCAACAGACCTGGATGCTGGCGCTGTGGTTGGGCATCCCCGATGACAGCGAGATCAGCACTGTGAAAGGGCAGGAAGAGTCAGTAACACAGACTACTAGACACGGTTATTATTGCTTCTGGCCCTTCCCTAGGCAGAGCAACT